CTCTAGTAGGTTGGAGGCCATCGCTAGGTTGCTATAAGGTGGTGTCAGCTTCGTCATCGAGCGGATGTCACAGAGGTCGGGTTGTATACCAAGGCCCTAGCGCCACAATGCCTGGTACCGATTCTTCCCAAGGTTTCATCACCTGTCAGCATCGACGATGCACCGCTCCAACTAGCAGCGAAAGCTCAAGATTGCTAGCGGAGGCCATCGCTATTAGGCTGGAGGCCATTGCGATTAGGTTCACGTCTGCGCCTCATCTTGCATGTCTTGCGTATATGCATAGTCGCCATAGTCCTGGCAAAAAGGTGCGTGTGGCACACGCTTTTTGGTCCTGCAGCCGGCTCCGGCCTGAGGTCTTTGTCCATCTGGACGAACACGGCGTGCGCGAAGGTCACGGATTTCGGTCTTGGAGAGCGTGAACACACAACAAGGATCTAAAAGGTAAGAACCTACTAGTTACAAGAAGCTGCTAGGTTACTAGTAGCAAGAAGCTACTAGCAGCTCCTGGCAATACTACTAGTAGCAAGGTTGCTACTAGTAGCTATTTGCTACTAGTAGTATTGCACTTGTTACTAGTAGCGATGCCATAAAAGGCAAGTGGACGCTCTATGCTGTGACATGCTGTGTATGTGGGTGGCACGTGGCTGAGTTCTCGACATTGCCCATGGATGCCACAAAACGACGTTCCTGAAAGTGGTGATTCAGTGCCCGTTTAAAAGCCGCGAATCATAGGAACCGAACTGTTGGAGAGCCGCATCAAACATGTAGATACAGTAGGTTGAAGACCACCGCTGGTGGACGCTATTGGCTTGGAGGCATCGCTAGTAGGTTGGAGGCCATTGCTGTTACGTAGGAGGCCATCGCGACTAGGGCGGAGGCCATCGCTAGTAGGTTGGAGGCCCTTGCTAGTAGGTTGGAGGCCATTGCTAGTAGGTTGGAGGCCATTGCTAGTAGGTTGGAGGCCCTTGCTAGTAGGTTGGAGGCCATGGCTACTAGGTTGGAGTCGGAGGCCATTGCTATTAGGTTGAAGGTCATTGCTAGTAGGTTGGAGGCCATCGCTAGTAGGTTGGAGGCCATCGCTAGTAGGTAGGATGAAGAACAATAGTTGCGGTCTTGTTCTGGCCAAGACGCAAGACCTAGTCGGAAGTATTCAGCACAATATGGCCCACCTTCTTTCGGTGCTTCTTCTCGTCAGGTGGGCACAAGTGGCAAAATAGGCAAGCCTCGAGCAGTCAGGGAGCGACTGTGCTGGTTGACATGTTTGCACGCACGCCTGACCACTCTGACAACCATCCGATTTCCAGAAGAATGCACAAGGCTTGCAGCGCCTGGGAGCGCGAATCTTGATCAACCTAATAGCAATGGCCTCCAACCTACTAGTGATGGCCTCCAACCTAACAGCGATGGCCTCCGACCTAAGTCCTTTTTTGGCCCGCGTTGTCCTCACCCTTACTCAATTGAGTGGGTGGCTGCTTAAAACAAACTACTAGGTAATCTGCTACTAGCTATAGGACCAGCTAGGAAGCAGGATGGCGCACGCTTCTATTCAATTGGTTCCTGAGATTCATTTCAAAACAGAATCGCTGAGCCTCATCTCATGTGCAGCTGACCCCAGAGAGGGGGCTGCAGCTCCCGGCGGCGGTGGTGGGAGGACCTGCCGATCTTGACCAGAAAATAAATGACTAAAGGAACTAAATGAATGAAGATTAATATGAATGAAAAAAAGCAAAAAAATATTCAAGCTCTAAAGAAAAGAAAGGAAGAACCATATATCGTTCCATTCAACCGCTTTCGTCTTTCAGCCTGGGCATCAGCCGGCGGCTCCTTTGGCGGCCGGGGTGGAGTCACAAGGTTTAGCAGGACAGAGGCGGCCTCGACACAGTCGATGTGGCCGCCAGGTGACAACCATCGCTGTTTAAACAGAAGGCACGAACTTGCTTCTAAGATACAGGAACAAGTAATAAGATATATGGGAAATCTCTAACATGTTACAACTTCCCATGCCTGAGTTGGATCGGCAGCCATTGCGCGCGCTCCACGCTTCCACTGAAACAAGCGGAAACGAGCAGAATCTGTCGGGGCGACTTTGCACAGCCGCAGGTTGCAGCTTCGGAGCGCTGAACACCAGAAAAACTGACAACTTGCAGGCTAAATCCTAATCTTTCCATAGGACGCTGCTCAAATCGTTATATCGTTTCAATCATCCAGCGCTCCTCTTTCATCGCCTTTCTAGCCAGTCTTTGGGCCCAAATTTCTGCAGAAGCCCTCGCGTTTCATGTCGCGCCATCATAGGAACACAATGGCGAATCTTGTTGGAGGCCATCGCTACTAGGTTGGAGGCCATCGCTATCAGGCTGGAGGCCATCGCTATCAGGTTGGAGGCCATCGCTGTCAGGTTGGAGGCCATTGCTACAAGGTTCGAGGACATTGCTATCAGGTTGGAGGCCATTGCTACAAGGTTCGAGGACATTGCGATCAGGTTCGAGGCCATCGCTATCAGGTTCGAGGCCATCCCTATCAGGCTGGAGGCCATCGCTATCAGGTTGGAGGCCATCGCTATCAGGTTGGAGGCCATTGCTACTAGGTTGGAGGACATCGCTATCAGATTGGAGGCCATTGCCATTAGGTTGGAGGCCATTGCGATTAGGTTGGAGGCCATCGCTACTAGGTTGGAAGCCATCGCTATCAGGTTGGAGGCCATTGCCACAATAGGTTCGAGGACTAGGTTGGAGGCCATTGCTATTAGGTTGGAGGCCATCGCTATTTTAGGTTGGAGGCCACTGCTATTAGGTTGGAGGCCATTGCTATTAGGTTGGAGGCCATCGCTACTAGGCATCGCTAAAAGGTTGGAGGCCATCGCTAATACGTTGGAGGCCATTGCTATCTATTTGGTTGGAGGCCATCGCTATCAGGTTGGGAGCCATTGCCACTAGGTTCGAGGCCATTCATCGCTACTAGGTTGGAGGCCATCGCTACTAGGTTGGAGGCCATTGCTATTAGGTTGGAGGCCATCGCTATTTTAGGTTGGAGGCCATCGCTACTAGGTTGGAGGCCACTGCTATTAGGTTCGTGGCCATCCTTATTAGGTTGGAGCCCATTGCTACTAGGTTGGAGGCCAATCGCTACTAGGCTATTAGGTTGGCGTCGGTTGGAGGCCATTGCTATTAGGTTGGAAACCATTGCTATTGGGTTGGGGACAATCGCTCATAGGTTGGAGGCCATTGCTATTAGGTTGGAGGCCATTGCTATTAGGTTCGAGGCCATCGCTATTAGGTTGGAGGCCATTGCAATCTAATCTGGTTGGAGGCCATTGCTATTAGGTTGGAGGCCATGGCTATTAGGTTGGAGGCCATTGCTATTAGGTTGGAGGCCATCGCTACTAGGTTGGAGGCCATCGCTACTAGGTTGGTGGCCATCGCTACTAGGTTGGTGGCCACCGCTAATAGGTTGGAGGCCATTGCTATTAGGTTGGAGGCCATCGCTATTAGGTTGGAGGCCATTGCAATCTGGTTGGATGCCATTGCTATTAGGTTGGAGGCCATCGCTATCAGGTTGGAGGCCATTGCCATTAGGTTGGAGGCCATTGCTATTAGGTTGGAGGCCATCGCTATCAGGTTGGAGGCCATTGCCATTAGGATGGAGGCCATTGCTACTAGGTTGGAGGCCATCGCTACAAGGTTGGAGGCGGAGGCCATTGCTATTAGGTTGAAGGCAATTGCTATTGGGTTGAAGGCCATTGCTATTGGGTTGGAGGCCATCGCTACCAGGTTGGAGGCCATCGCTACTAGGTTGGAGGCCATTGCTATAAGGTTGGAGCCCATTGCTATTCCGTTGGAGGCCATTGCTACTAGGTTGGAGGCCATTGCCATTAGTAGGCTGGAGGCCATTGCTACTAGGTTGGAGGCCATGGCTACTAGGTTGGAGGCGGAGGCCATTGCTATTAGGTTGAAGGCCATGGCTATTGGGTTGAAGGCCATTGCTATTGGGTTGGAGGCCATCGCTACCAGGTTGGAGGCCATCGCTACTAGGTTGGAGGCCATTGTTATTGGGTTGGAGGCCATTGCTATTAGGTTGGAGGCCATTGCTACTAGGTTGGAGGCCATTGCTATTAGGTTCGAGGCCATCGCTATTAGGTTGGAGGCCATTGCAATCTGGTTGGAGGCCATTGCTACTAGGTTGGAGGCCACTGCTATTAGGTTGGAGGCCATTGCTATTAGGTTGGAGGCCATTGCTACTAGGTTGGAGGCCATTGCTACTAGGTTGGAGGCCATTGCTAGTAGGTTGGAGGCCATTGCTACTAGGTTGGAGGCGGAGGCCATTGCTATTAGGTTGAAGGCCATTGCTATTGGGTTGAAGGCCATTGCTATTGGGTTGGAGGCCATCCCTACCAGGTTGGAGGCCATCGCTACTAGGTTGGAGGCCATCGCTACTAGGTTGGAGGCCATTGCAATCTGGTTGGAGGCCATTGCTATTAGGTTGGAGGCCATCGCTATCAGGTTGGAGGCCATCGCTATTAGGTTGGAGGCCATTGCTACTAGGTTGGAGGCCATCGCTACTAGGTTGGTGGCCATTGCTATTAGGTTGGAGGCCATCGCTATTAGGTTGGAGGCCATCGCTATTAGGTTGGAGGCCATTGCTACTAGGTTGGAGGCCATCGCTACTAGGTTGGTGGCCATCGCTACTAGGTTGGTGGCCACCGCTAATAGGTTGGAGGCCATTGCTATTAGGTTGGAGGCCATCGCTATTAGGTTGGAGGCCATCGCTATTAGGTTGGAGGCCATTGCTACTAGGTTGGAGGCCATCGCTACTAGGTTGGTGGCCATCGCTACTAGGTTGGAGGCCACTGCTATTAGGTTGGAGGCCATTGCTATTAGGTTGGAGGCCATCGCTACTAGGTTGGGGGCCATCGCTACTAGGTTGGTGGCCATCGCTAATAGGTTGTTTCATTGTCTGCCAAAGAACGATTGCCATTGATTCCGGGGAATTTCTCAGCAACCGGCCGCCAATGGATCTGTCTCCGCGCCGTCTGGAAACGCCTGGCAAAACAAAAAGTGTGTTTCCAGAAATGACTTCATGTTCTGCGTACAGAACATGACCAAACACCACTGTAGGATCAGGAAATCGCGCCGAAAAAATGGACTACCGGGCGATGGCCAAATCAACCTTGGAGAATAGATATGGATGAAAGCATCCCCAAGACCCTTCTCTTTGGACCCTTTAAGAATGAAAAATCTGGTCAAGTTTGGGCAAAACCTAGACTATCGACCTGGGATGTTGTGGGTTTGACCCACACCGCCGGCCTCTTGCGCCACCCGTGCAGCAGCCACTCCAAGGCCGAAGCCCACTGTAGTGGACACCAGCCCATCCAATTGAAGCCAGGCATGGCGGTCATCGGCCGTCGCAAGACCGGCCACGAGGAACCAACAGACCACGGCCGCTACAAAGCTTTGCTTGGCTCCCAGCTTGCACAAAGGGCTGGACCTGGGACGTCTTAGGGGAAGGCCATCGCTACTAGGGTGGAGGCCATTGGTCTTAGGAGGGTCACGGTTTCATTCCGCGTTCGAGAGTTCCATGGGTCTGTTTGAACGATTCCATTGTTATTGGAACTCAAAAACTTAATAAGAGCCCGCACATCCAGGGATAGATGAGCCAACACGGTAGCAACCTCAGTTGACAACTTGACTTATCATTGGTCCAATGGAGAAAAAATCATTAAAGTCAGTGAGATGTCGACATTGCTACAGTTGCTGTGGCCCCATTTGGGCAGTTCATAGCTTCCTCAGTTTCCAAGCAAAGATTTCGCACCAGTTCAAATGAAAAGGGCAACGGCGGCGTCTTGGCCAGCCACTAGTAAATCAAAACATTATGCCCTAACTCCAACTACCAATCTAGCGTCCCTTTCTTGCGCCGATCTGATGCGACTGCGATTCTTCCTTTGACCACTGGAGTAGCACCACGCATCGGGGCGAGGGGGCTTCAGGCTTCAGAACCAAGCTCCTGGCGCACTGGAGTAAGTAGCTGAGTCAGGTACCAATCCGATCTGCCAGTGAATCTTTGTTTTTCTGTTATATACGTTCTTTTTTCGTGAAACTTTGTTGTAAAAACAGCTGACAGTCTTGTTTGTCGCAGCTTGACTCAAAGGGTACCCTGCGGCGGTCCCAGCAGAGGTCACCATGCACAATGTTTGGCAAAAGCGACGCAAAACATGCACTACATCACACCCGTGATTCTGTTGGCGTGGTGTACTGAATATCTACGAGAACTAAAGGTCTGCATTCTATGGCCAATATTCTATGGTTCCTACAAAAACCGGCTCGAAGACTCTCAGCCTCTCAGCCCAGTTTGTCCCGGGAGGGTGAGAGAGTGAGAGAGTGAGAGTGAGAGAGTGTGAGTGGGAGTGAGTCAGAGTGTCAGAGTGAGTGACAGTGTGAGTGAAAGTGAGAGTGTGAAGATGCTCACCGTCTTTTCCACAGGATCCAACAGCACAGTTCGCCAAAGCAGTGAGTAACCATCCGCTTTGCATCGTTGAACAGCATACCCGACGAACGATTGCACATGTGAGACATCTGTGACGATGCAAGAGATCACCGGGCCATTCTTCATGTCCCATGAAAGAACTCCTGACCGAAGGTCAATCCTCTTGAAGCAGTTGAGATAGCACAGTCAATGCGCTTGCTTGCACCACGCAAATCCGCCGCAGAGTGATTTGATGAAGCAGATTGAGCCCTGCTCGCCCGATATCAATATGGTCTGCACTGTCTTGCGATCTATGTTAGCTTGCCCCATGACATCCTGAAGGCAGAGGGCATGGCAGAAGGACAGCTACCACTAGCCCGAGCCCCTGCCTATAGAGCACATGACTCAGGAAGTTTTGAGACCCGTGCGGAGGGCAACGTCATCTTGCTCGTTGCGCTCCACAAAGGCTTTCTCGCGCATTCTTTCTATGTCATCGACCACTGCCCTATTCATCAGCCTGTCTTTGGGCTGGTGAAAAGCCACTTCAGTCACTGCACCGGTTCTTGGTCATCTCCACCTGACTCTGTGGGAGGATGCCATCTGCATCTGTTGAGATGAGAACTCTCTTCCGGCATCTGTGATCATGACCTCTGGCAATCCAAAGGTTCGACCCCACGTGGACCATAGGGTGCTCCAGATCGTCTTTGGGCGTTTGTCTTCCACTCGTTGCACAATTTGATGATTGCTGCCCCAATCTACCATAGAGCTGGGAACCGTCTTCCTCCTCCGACTTCCGGCAAAAAGATCAAGTCGTTACCCAGGACACGGCCTGGTTGATAAGTTTTAGGGATGGCTGCATACTTTTGGCCTTGGCTTTGCTTCACACGCTGGGCATTGAAATTCCTTGCCTGCCCAACGCACCAACTCTCCCTTAACTAACTCTTGCTGCTCTCACAAAGCGATGAACTCGCTTCTGAGGACGCCCTAGGCCTTTGCGCAGTTTAAGGATGGACTTCTTTTCTTCCTCGTTGACTTCCCCTCTCATCTTTCTTCTTTCCTCGGCTTCGATTTGATTGTCCAGCGCTTCTTCCAGGCCTTCTTCCTCTTCTTCATTAGGTTCCTCGTCCACTTCTTCCGCCAAAATGGATAGGAAGTGGGATGAGCGTCCTCCATCTTTGGAGAGCCTCACTGCTTGACAGAATGCGGGAGGATGTTCCTGAGCCTTGGCTGGCAGCCCACACAACGTGGGTACATGGAAGCGCTTCCGGACGACCTTTCCATTCTTCCCTATCAAGGAGTTTGCGCACGAATGCGGGCGGGAAAGACTCTTTGAGACCGCTTTCATACATCACGACATCAATGGGAACACATGGCATACCTTTCACAGGATGTGGGCACACGGCGTGATCGGAACCTGGCTGTGGACCGCATGTGGAAAAAGAGCGCTAAGCATCAGTCTACACAAGGGATCAGAGACTTGGGCGGCGATGGATCTCACTTGATCGAATTGAGCCAGCATAGCTCGAGTATCTCTTTTGCAAACAAAACCGTCTGCAGCTGTCGACGGGATCGAAAATCCATCCGGCGCGAACTGCCAAATGTCTATGGTGACATGTCCGCTTGGCATCGCGCGCAAGGGGAGTTCGATGCGCTCCTCCGGAAAAATGAACTTGAAGTTGAGGAAGTCTACAATGGCTTTCCTGACCTCACCTTCAACGACCGTAACCTCTAGCACCCCGATCTTCACGATGCCTAGAGAAATTACGGCGACCCCAACGACTTGAGCTTGTCCGCCTAACCCCTTTGCTGATGACTTCTTGGGGACCCACTTGATGGAGAGACCATGATCTTCTAGCCGATGCTCTAGTTGTTGAAGTTCATGAATCCCAACCAAACCTCCCTCGGCCCCCGTGTCCACGACCCCAACTTCGGAACCCGTGGCCATCCCACAAAACTGCATGTCGGAAGAAGCGGCGTTGTACTCGGACTCGTCTGACGGCCTGTCGGTGAGATAGAGAGCCTTCTTCCTCTCTTCCACAAACTTCTTCAGCCAAAAGATCCGATCGGGCGGATCGACTAAAGGTTCCGAAAACTGATGTGAGGCGTCGGCCGACATGGCCTCATCCCTCACTACAAAGAAGCCCGTTTTTGGTAGAGGTCGTGGATGAGCCAGCTCCGGCAGAGCCTGAATGACTCTTTCCTTTTTCTGTCCCCTTGCTGGTGCACTCTCGGCTGAGGTCTCGCAGCTCCAGCAATGGGTCCTCAACTTGAGTTGTTCGATGTGGACTCGGCGCTTTCCTTTTCCTTTGCTCTTGCCCCAGCTGCGGTCTTGCCCGGTTGTAGAACCCTCGACCATTCCTTTGATTTTTCAAAGCGTCTCTCACTTCTCTACAGCTGGCTAAAGCCAAGCTTCCAGCATAGAGTAGATGCCGTCGAGATCTCCTTCTGCCCCGAAGAGGAACTCTTCGCCAACCCTCTTCCTCTTCAGCCTGGAGGTAGGTGTCATTCTCATGAACCTCCTTGATGTCCAGCAGCTAAAAGATCTTCCCTGATTGACCACCTTGTCGAGCTTGCGAAGAGCCTTGGCGATGGACATCTTGTCGTAGCGTCCATCGCACCGCGTCAGCAGCCGTTGCTCTTGAGCTCCACTCAACGACGCCTGACGATACAAGATGTATCCGGTGGCTCCTGCGGAAATGGCATTCCTGACTCCGTCCTCGGTGGCATGTCCTCCAAGTCCATCTCTTCGACCGCCAGCCGTGCCATGCCCGAAAGCGCCCTCAGAATCTTTGCCCCTTGCTTCCTCTTCGGGATGTCAGTCTCGAATCACCACAAGCGAATATTCTTCTCGAATGTTCGGAAAGTCCCTCCCCTCTGGGTCAACCCCATCGTACCCGCGTGGCGGGTCGCGGTCTCGCGGCCCTTCTCTCTCTCTCTCTCTCTCTCTCTCTCTCCCTCTCACGGCTCCAGCAGCGGCTGCCGCTGACGAGAACGCCCCCTGACTCCTCGGTGGCCTCGTGTATGTCTCCTCCTCCGCCTCAGAAGCTGGCAATGCCCCTGGAACGCAATGTGGCTCCGCTACCACTGTCAGTGGTAGCTGCGAACCAACGCTAGCGGAGCGGTGACATCACTTTTTCCATGGCTTCGTAGGTCGAAGATCCGGTGCGGTTAGGGCCCCTGAGGTTCGAGGCGAAGGCAACACAGGAGACGGTACATGGATCAAGCAAAATGCTTTGACAGTTTGCTTTCTTTCTTGTTCTTTTCAAAAGAAGCACACTCTCTCCAGGCCATGGCAAGCCAAAAGGCCGGCAGCAGACGGACCGCCCGGCGCAAGTAGAAACTGCAGGCTTCACGCACCTGTGGAAACGGGTCTCGGAAGGTGATTTGATGGCTTCTATCGTAGGAGTGATGGCCTCTACCCTAAGATTGAAGGTCTCAAAAAATACGTGTGTACCAGCATAAGAATATGCGGCACGGACCCAAACAGTTGGATGGGCAAGAATTGCTGTTGTGCAAATACTGCAGGTTCATGTCATTGGCACTCCAAGGAACACAAGAAAACATTGCAACGATAGAATGAGGTTGACAGGATAGACAAGATCCGGACAAGCATGGACAGGTGTAAACACAGGTCAACACCCGGAGCAACATAGGAGGTAAACAAAATAACGGCAGAAAGACAACGCGCGGGCACAAAATTCGCCGGCCCGGCGTGGACCCTCTTGTTTCAAACAGAGAGCCCGAACAGAAGGCCGTTTGGAAGCAGAAAGAAGAACTGAAGCGTTCTTCGTGCGGCACTGAAACTATTCGAGGCTCTGTTGATGCACCGGAACTGTCACTCAAACTAGAAGTGTACCCTCGCTTCAGTAGACACAAGAATGTTCTTGTTAACTACCCATGGAAAAGAATGTTGAAATTGGAGGTCAACTGCCTCTCACTACTTTTCTTAAAGAGTCAATTTGGTAAAGAGTGAGATTCCAAAACGTTCTCCCCTGACTAGGGGGCGTTCAGACTCCAACGAACAAACGTTAAATCCTACTGCCTTTAACAAGCAAATCTTTCAAATGAATGCATTATTGTTCCACAACGCATGCTAGTGTCCAGTATTGTACTCAGGGGTGGAGACTAAAGGGTAAATCAAACCTAATGATCTCTTGGAGACCTTTTGGAGGACATCGCTCTTAGGTTGGAAGCAATCGCTCTTGTTTCTGCCAACACGGAATGATGTCCTCTGCTCCATCCGACGGCCTCATGTGGCGCGTTCCATTGGGAGACGAAGCCACTTAGCACAATGAAGATGTCGACACCACATGAGGCACGTTGCAAGCCGACCTCGACTGGATTCGAATCCTAGTGGCTGTAATCTTGAGAAGTCAAAAGGATTCTAATCAAACACCCAATGCAAGAACAAAAAGTTTAAAACAAAAAAAGGTACAAACGTTTTTTTGACAAAAGTGAGACTTAATGTCAAGGGGTAACAAAGGCCATAGTTTTGAAAAAAGGTTCCTTCCAAAGTGTTCCTCTTTCGATGGCCATAGTTTTGAAAAAGGTTCCTTCCAAAGTGTTCCTCTTTCGATGGTCTCTGCTTGTAAATTCTTTTACACTTGGCTCTGGGGTCTCTGGAGCCTCTGGGGTGTGCGGGTGTTTGTACACGGTTTAATGTTAGTTTTATACGTTGTTTGGCAGGCAAGCGAGAGCAAATGGAAGCAAGTTGAATGGGAATCCTCTCCCTCTTGGGCTCCTTACATTCCAAATGCCCGCGTGCTCATCGGGCAGAAATCGGCCACAAAGCACCCAGGCCGCACAAAGAGATCGCACTCCTCCAATCACAGATGCGAAGGCGTCTGAAGCCCCGGAGGCCATCACCCTTGGAGGCCATCGCTACTAGGTTGGAGGCCATCGCAAGAGACTTCAATTTGCGCTTCTGCTTTGTTCAACTCACTTTGTTGGAACGAGTGCAATGTTCCATTCTCCATGGCCGATACTCACAAGCACTGCCCGTCTGACGGTAAAAAACCGGAACAGTGTTGGCCGCCACCCTGTGATTTGAATTTGGTCAAACTTCAAACATGTGTTCTTTCTTTCTTTCTTTCTTTCTTTCTTTTCTCTATATATTTATCTTGTTCGCTTCTTGCTTGCTTGTATCTTTCTTCTTTGTGCTATATGGGTGTGGCCAGAAACCCTGGTATGGATCGTTCCGCGGTGCAGTGAGAGTGATCCAAACCCTATGGATCAGAGCGCTGATCCAAGCCCTATGGATCAAACCGACGAGTCACTTGATCCAAGCCCCCGACATGAAAACATCTGCACGGTGGCGCTTCACCCCACCACTTTCTCACCAATTCACTGTGAAGGTGGTGGCTTCCCAGATCAAGGCCATCCTGTTTGTGGCAAGCCTGTTTTGAAGTTCTGGCCGCTGTGAATTTGGGCCCCACTGTCTACATATTGGGCATGGTTGGGTATAGAGTGGTGGCAATGAGTGTTGGGTTTCATTCTTTCTCCAACTCAAAGCAGACGACGCAAGAAGCCCAAAAAGGCCATCAGCTGGCCACGCATATTGGTGACTGGTGGCGACTTCAGCTCTAGATTGGAGGCTCACTCCGAGCACTGGTTAGTGGCTGCCGCTAATTCTGTTTGGCCTTGATATTGTATTCTAGCACCTTCTTTAATATGGGTTATTTGGGTTGGCTTCTCCACTCAAAGGGTTGCATAGCCTAATGGTAAAAGCGTCGCAGTTCAATTCTTCAATTCCACAGTGTGAGGGTTCGATTTCCAGCTGTGAACACACTTAGTGGCTTCCGGTAATTAATTTTTGGGTGGAATGGGAAGTCAATTTGAAGTTGAGTCTGGTGGCTTCCGCTAAGTCTGTGGTGGTGGCAGTAGTGAGTAGCAGTAGCAGAAGCAGTAAAGCTGTTGCAGTAGTAGCAGCAGGTGGCAAGTGCAGTGGCAGTAGCAGAAGGAGTGGTGGCAGCAGAGGTGGTTGTAGTAGTGGTTTGTAGCAGTGGTGGTTCGAGTCCCGGCTGTGACCACACTTAGTGGCTTCCGGTAATTAATTTTGGCTGGAATGTCAATTTGAAGTTGAGTCTAGTGGCTTCCGCTAAATCTGTGGTTGTGGTAATACTGGTGATAGTAGTGAGTAGCAGTAGCAGCAGCAGTAAAGCTGTTGCAGTAGTAGCAGCAGGTGGCAAGTGCAGTGGCAGTAGCAGAAGGAGTGGTGGCAGCAGAGGTGGTTGTAGTAGTGGTGGTGGTGGTTGTGTGATCCAAGGGCTTGGATCACACACCCACCTTTTGATCCATACCCTATGGATCGAGGTATGGATCGTGTGTGGGTTTGGGTGTGTGATCCAAGCCTTATGTTTCTGGCCGTAGCCATATGTTCTCTTGTCAGGATGGTTTCCTCTTGATCTTGGGTCTGGATTACACAGCTTGCAAGAGCATGTTCTCGAACAAGAATACTTTCCCTGAGGTCGAAAGAATGCCGCAAGAAACCACTCTTGGCAATTGCAAACCTAAGAACTGAAAGAAACGCATCGCATCGCCTTGCAAATGTTGTAAGTACATGGTTGGCCATTGCCAAGCAAGTACATGGCTTCTTTCATTTCGGTCTCATTCTGCGACAGTTTTGTTACAAAGTCTCGTTGGTGAACTGTCGGCCGCTCGACAATTCCGTGTGACCCGTGGTGATTCGCGAGATCCGAAAAACCTTTCGCTGCCGGGGCTGTCGCATTCATCTCTGTCTTTCATCTCACTCACAGTCTTGAGCCAAAAGGTAGCTTCAGAAATCTAGAACCCCTGACTGCTTTCGGACAAGAAAGCTAGGGAACAAATAGGAACAAGGGAAGCAAGCAAATGGCGGTTTTTTGAGGTTGGTTTTAAAATATGTGGTTTTAGACTCAAGTGTCTCGTGTTACGAAAGGAATCTCAAGAACGCTCTCCTCTTTTTCCCTTCCTGTTTTGTCATGTTTTCTTGTCTTGTCCGGCGCTCTCAGTTCTTTCGTACTCCAGGCACACGTCATTGCCTGCGACGTCTCGGAGAGCGACGCGGAGCGACGCGGAGCGACGCGGAGCGACGCATCTTGCGCCTGCACGGCGGAGATCCCGGAGCCGCCAGAACTGGGCCTTGGAGTTTTCGAGACCGAGCAGAAGAAGTTACGATCCTGAAAAAATGGGATCGTGAAATGACTCGAAAAGACGTTTGCAACTAATTGATACGATGAATCATTGAAACGAAAACAATGCGTGTTTGACATGCAGACTCCCTCGCCTCTTTGATGGTGGACGTCAAAGGCACTTGAGCCCATGGCTGGGCAGAAGATCCTAACCTCAAAAGACACTTAGTGGCAACAGGCGAGTAGGCGCAGCGTTCTGGTAAAGCCCAGTAACATTCTTGCTTAAAGAACACCGAAGGCATTCAAGCCCGAAGGCCTTGTACTATTGTCAGTCGTTCGTTCTGCCACCACAAACTTGCCAAGGCCCAGGCAAGGTCGCGCCAATGTAAACTCGCAGCTCCTCACGTTCATCGCTTCTAAGTTGGAGGCCATCGCTGGTAGGTTGGAGGCCATTGCTATTCTGTATATGTGTCTTTTCCTTCTGTTTTGTTCTGCTATTAGAGTCTTGCCAATGTAAACTCGCAGCTCCTCAGATTCAGGTGCATCACGTCGCCATCGAAAAACACTTGTTGGACAAAAGGAGGCTTGCACAAAACAACTCGAAGTATATAGCTCAAAATGCAGAATCGACATCACTGCCGTTTCTTAGTCGAAAAACGAAGCCTTCAAATTTCTGTTCTTAAACCAATGCAAAGGCATCCCAAAGAGCAACTACCCCGTCCTCGGCAAGGCCCTCTTTGAGCATTTGCCCCTGCAGAACAGCACCTCCTTCAACCATCAGTTGTAAGACCTGATAAACTATTCTGGAACCGAAGGCGCGACATCTTCCGTTGAAACTAGATTGTGGTTCTTGCACCAATGAAAAGCATTCGCACACCAAAAAGCTAGAGTGGTATTTAAAAACGCTGATCTCCCTCTTCCAAAAAACAGACAACTATATAGCAAAAGGGAAGAAAAAAACAGAGGTCAAAATCTAAAGGTCCAAGGTTTGTCAACGAAGTGAAAAGCCAAGCTTCCAGCTCCACGCTTTCCAAGCTCCGCAAGGATGCTGGGGAGATCCAAACGCCCACAGGCCTCGGTTGAATGAGTCCAACATAAACCCCGTCTTGTTCTACTAGCTTCTTGCTCCTAGTAGTACGGCCAGGAGCCCCTAGCGATGCCAGGAGTCCCTGGTAGCGTCCTTTCTAATTACATTAGTTTTTGATCTCTTTTTTGCCCTTAATGAAGTAGGCGCCTACTTCAAGTAAGGGCAATGGACGCAGGATGGTTCGCGCTTCTTCAAGGAAGCGCTCGCATTATTCATGTGGTTCCTAGATTTAAAAGAAAAGGGGTTGGTCTGGAAAAGGCTGTTTCCCTGCTCAGTCTGGAATCGGCAACTTGGTCCAAACTGGGGTTTCTTGTCAAAGTAGAGGGAGAGACTGAGCACTTCACGGTTGGAACCTCCACAAAGTCCACACCACACTCCTGCCACCTGAAGACAGCCGTCACTTCGTCACCTTGGCCTGAATGACCGTCTACCAGCAAGAAGGACGCTACTAGAAGCCTCTTCTTGGCCTCTTCACTGCAGTTCTCACCTGCATGGAGTGCTCATTGGGCAGATGTCATGATGCGTGATGGCTTCTGTTCTAAGGAAAATGATGTTTCCTCCAACAAGCATTCTGGTCAGGAGTAGCAAGGAGGTATTACGTCCCAAGTCGTGTAGCTTTGAAAAGCAAAAGCCCAAGTAGCTTCTTGTTCCTAGTAGTAAGGCCAGGAGCAATTCTGAGTCTCCCACTGGTGAAGACCAGAGTCGGGGCCATCTTTGTGTCCATCAAGGGACCCTCTTTCACCCGGCCACGGCTATCCAAAACGACACCTTGGTGGCGCTTCGCATTCCACGTCCTTCCATGAGACTCTCTCCCTTCATTCTTTGGTCATTCCATTGTTCGGTCGCTTCCGAATCGTAAACCGATTATTTACTGAAAGAAGGAAGAAGCAGAAACTTGTTCCGGATTCCGAATCATTCCAAAACAATGGTGCAGTGCTGCTTGGTCACGCAGCGGCTGGCTCTTCAGCCCTGGGTCTGGTCGCACTGTAAGGCTTGGCCTAAAGGCTTGGATCCGCTTTCGTAAGCGCATGAGACTAACAAGAAACTTTTTTGGTCTTTGAAGTTTCTTAGTAACAATAAAGTTTTCTAGTAACTAGTAACTAGAAGCTTCCTTGGGAATCGATTCCCAAAAGAAAACACCAAACCTATTCTCTGTCTCAACTCAGGCCGTCACTTGTCTTGTAAAGCCGTACCGCTGCCTCATCTGAACTCAGACTCTGGGTTGTCTCCATGTATGAGTTCGATTCAGCCGTAAGAGAGGCGTCTGACTCTGGGTTTTAGGTCTTGAAACGCCACAATCGTTACCAGGCGGAAAAAAAGAATTTGCTCGTAGTAGCGATGCCCTTTGCTCCTAGTAGTGTTCTTGCTCCTAGTGGCGATGCCAGTACTAGGGTCCTTGCTCCTACCACCAACACTTTTGCTCTTCGCTCTGCTACCGCTCCCTTTGCACAAGCTTTTGTTGTCCGGCCTACCATGATCGCCTGAGACTCTGCGCGCAACACATGCGCATCTTTCCGGGCGTCTGCCTGATCTGAAAGTACCGCTTGGCATGAGTTATTCAACAAACAAAGTTTATTTTCTTTACTACTAATTTTAATTTGATTCATTAAATTCCACTTTATTGTTTCTACTAGCTTCTTGTTCCTAGTAGCCAATTGTTGACTAAGGTGGTGGAACCCAAAGTGGTGGAACCCTGTCGGGGAAGTCCTACCAGAGTCTGGAAAGTTCTTGAAAACTCTTGGCTGCTTCCTTTTCTCTACGCTGCGATGATCTCCAACGGTGGCACTTTGGATGTCCTTTGGACAAACTGCTGAACTGCCCTGTGAGGCAAGTTCTTCTTGAAACTGAGCATCACGGCCTTCTGGTCACCGCTGCCATCAGCCTTACACGTACACACTCATGTGTACACATCAGCCAAGGAACCGGTCCAAAATCACTCGCGCGCAGCTCAAAAATCATACATGAATCTTAATGCAGGTTGGCAGCATTCTGCACTGAACCTGTGCTAAAGCTCTTCAGCATCGTCTGGCGAGTGTGCGTTGGCAGGCGCTTCTCCAGGGACTCCAACAGCGAGCTCTGCTCTGCGTCGCTCGCCATCACAATGACCCATTCAGCTTTCGCTAGTAGGTGGGAGGCCGCTAGTAGGCTGGTAGGTTGGAGGCCATCGCCAGCAGTTTGGAGGCCATGCCATCGCTAGTATAATAGGCTGGAGCCCATGGCTAGCAGGTTGAAGGCCATCGCTATAGAAGGTTGGAGCAAACAGTGTCAAATGCTTTCATGGCTAAGTCATGTGGTCCCACACATCCTGCAAAATATTGCATCTGGGTAGTAGGGAAACCTGTACGTCAATCTGGAGCCTTCTGAGATTCCGCATATCAAAAAAAGCACGGGGCGATGTTGATAATCGTTCTTGCCTGATAAGATGAAGGGCGCAATGGTACACACCAGGACATGACAAGTGTTGGGCTGTGGGTGTCTCACTCATCCAAACAAATCCTATATATACCCATTCATAGTTTGCTAACTTTGAGCTATCCCCACCAAAATCAGGCTTGTGGCGCTTATCACTGCGCATCCTTGTCACTAGCCGTTTGTGCGCTGCGTCGCCTTTCATTGTTTCACGTCTAGGCTCATGCCTCAGTTTCGGCCAAGCTAAAACACTAGCGCGGGTAGGCGACTTTGACTACGCCGCCTATGCCAGTGAAATGAAAGCCCCTGCTTCTATTGACATCAAGAAAAACGTTGCCACAAATTTAGGACGTGTTGAAACGCAGCAAGAGCACTGGTCTTCATTATAGCGATCGCCCCAAGACGACCAGTGTCTGTTATCATCCCAAGACCACGAGCCGCCCCAAGAGCCACCCCGCGCGTCACTCTCGGACCACCACTGGTCTCTGTTCCAAGAGCGAGCCATGGCACAGCACACAAGAAGTTCCTATGACTCGTGAGGTGTATTGGGAGATTTGGCTAAGCCAGCCACGGTGAAATGTTTGAATCGATCATTTCACCAGATTGGACTGACTCAAACAGATTGAGACATGTGTGTCGTGTGGTACCTCATCACAGTTATATATATATAGACCAAGTCCAGCCAACATGTAAAAATCAATCGTAAAATTCCATCAGCTCATTGCTGAAAAGTTGGAGGCCATCGCTACCAGGTGGAGGCCATCACTAGTAGGCTGGAGGCTGCCGTTAAACCATCAAGCTTGTCAAATCTGTGAGCTGAGGGACCACCTGTTTGCAGTCCGCAAGTAGGTTGGAAGCCTATAGTAGGTTGGAGGCCATCGCTAGTAGGTTGGAGGCCATCATAGCCATCGCGAGTATGTCGGAGGTCATCGCTAGATCGAAGGTAAAGCCTAAGTTTTTACCAATTTATGTGCATCAACAAGTGACAAGCTGTCCATGAGGCCCCAAGACGAAGCTGTCAGCAGCAGCAGCACGCAGCGAGCCATACAGGCTTCTATCTAGGTCGAAGAAGTACGGGATCTGCACCTCCAAGGTCGACTCGTGCAGAAAGGCACTGATGCCAGAAACTCCGCCGCAAGGAAGAGCTAGCACCAACGGCCGCTGCAACTGCGGGAGCCTGATCAATGCGTGGTTGCTGTTACTAGTTGCCCATCCCCATCTCCCACTACATTAAAAGCCCTCAGCAAATGGCAAGATCACATAGAAGGCAAAATGCTATCAAGCCCTGACAAAGCCAGGCGACCGGTCAAATTTCCCAAACCAGTCGGGCAAAGGATACCCTTCAAGTCTTGAATCTTGAACAACTGAGCTGACTGTATTTGCCAGGTCTATGTTGGAAAAAGTTGTGTTCTAAACTCTTCTGGTTCAAATGAAACGGATCATTATGAGGCACCACAAGCGATGGCCTCCAAAGCACCTGCTGAAGTATAATAAGAAGAAGAACCCGTTGAATGACCTTGTGTAACTTCATGTTACCAGAAAGAACTGTATGAAGTCAAATGTGGACTCACTCTGCTCTGATATCTTTATCCAAAAAAGCGCGTCGGCGGAGTTCATTGGTTTTCAAAGGATCATACAGGAATTTACAGGTTGGTTCTCGCCACTTTGCATATCGCCAGCTTAGTCATCAAATGAAGTAGTAATGCCCTTGTTACTAGTAGCGATGGCCAAGCACTCACTTGCGCACCCCCAAATAACCTCACTTGCGCACTTTACCTCACTTGCGCACTTAGCACTCACTTGCACACTTTCAGGGGGAAAGTGAAGGTGAAAGGACATTCAACCACCAACAATCTATTGGGTGGGGGGGTAGGAGAAAATGAAAAGATACTCAACCACCAAACAATGTAAGTTCTTGCACCTGACATGTAATTAGGTGAGGTTACTGAACACAACTGCTCATTAAAATTACATATCTTGTTGGGGTGAAGTGGGTGGGTGGGGGGGGGGGGGGGGGGGTGGGGGGGTTAATAACGTCTTTGTTGACATTCTTCCACGTGATGATCTTTATTGAATATGTGCTTCCAAAGAACCATGTGATACAGATGTTCTGTGTCTGATCTAGTTAGTTAATTTGTTTGTTTGTTAAATAGATAGCTAGTTAACTAGTTAGCTAGCAAGCTAGCTAGTTAGTGAGTACTATGATGTTGTAGTAGTAGTAGTAGTAGTAGTCAGTAGTAATGGTAGTGGTAAAGGTAGTAGTAGTAGTAGTCGTCGTCGTGGTAGTACTATTCGTCTGCGTCTTCGCGGTCGTCGTCGTCGTGGTCTTCGTCGCAGTAGTATGATGTAGTAGTAGCAGTAGTAGCAGTAGTAGTAGGAGTAGTACTTGTAGTAGTGGTAGTTGTGGTAGTTGTGGTAGTATAGTGGTAGTGGTAGTGGTAGTGGTAGTTGTAGTGGTAGTGGTAGTGGTAGTGGTAGTGGTAGTAGTAGTAGTAGTAGTAGCAGTAGTAGTAGCAGTAGTAAGGAGTAGTAGAAGTAGTAGTAGTAGTAGTACTAGTAGAAAAAATGCACAAGCGAGGTAAATTTGCAAGTGCACAAGCGAGGTAAATTTCAAGTGCACAAGCGAGTGCTCGCCCAGTAGCGATGCCCTTTGCTCCTAGTAGCGTCCTTGCTCCTAGTAGACCTTTATTTTGACCTTTAGATGCAAACAAGATTCATGTAAATGAACAAAGCACCGAACTCTCGTGAGATTGCCTGTGTGATCCATTGTGAAGTCCTGTCTTCGCAAGCCTTGGAAAACACGGAAACGCCACACGACTTCACACAACTTCACATGCCTTCCGTCGTCGGGATCGAGGTTCAGGCCACTCGCCCATCCAAGCTTGTGGCCATCTTCAGAACCACGTAGGGCCTGGAACAACGTAGTACAAGAAGAACATCGCTAGTAGGTTGGAGGCCATCAACATCATCTTCGCCTGCTATGTTCCCAAAAGACTGGACCCTATCTAAATTGGTTGTATTTGTTGCATGGTTGCTGTTGCCTTCTCCAACGTCCAAATCATTTGCTTGTTCACAAGTTTTTGGTGTGTTGTTGCGTGTTCTCGATTGCACACGAGCTGCACAAGCTGCTAAACAAACATGCAAAATCGCTGTGCATATTAGTATAATTGTGCCATTGGAACCTTGCATTCGGTTCTTTCAGAGCCCCATCAGTGGTGCAAGTTGGGCAGGAAAGCACTGCCTTTCGGTTCATCCTCTTACTTTGCCCACATTCACACCGCGGCTTGCAGTGTCGAAAACTCGGAAGTGTCCCTACCGTCATGCTCGAACTACCCATCACTACCGGCACGATTGCCAGGTCGGCTTCGGGTTTCACCTGCCGGTCTGGCGGTGGTGCAGGTAGCTGCGGAAAGAGTCGCGCACCTTCTCCTGAAACTCAAAGAGCTCTGGAAGAGCAGACGGCCTCCAACCTTCTACCGATGGCCTCCAACCCAATAGCAATGGCCTCCAACCTTCTACCGATGGCCTCCAACCCAATAGCAATGGCCTCCAACCTAACAGCGAGTAGTCGCGCACAATGGTCTTCTTTCAAACCCGTTTCAAACCCGTGCTCCTTGCCTCGGCAACTCCCACATCCACCTGCAAAATTAGGGTGTTCCGACGTTAAGAATCGAGAAACATGTCAACGGGAGTTGTTACCAACAAAAAGCTTTGCAGGCCGCAGCACTTGTCGTGGCAGGCGCAGCATTTCTTGGGCCTAATGTTCTCGTCATAGAATAGCACTAGTACCATAGCAGAGTGCTAGTATTTGCACTCATAGTGGTAGTGGTCGTCGTAGTCGTAGTCATCGTAGTCGGCCTAGTAGTCGCCGGTCCTAGTCATTGTTGTGGTGATCGTGGTAATAATAACAATACAGTCAGCAGCAGCAGCAGGTGGTGGTGCTAGTCAAAAGAAACTTCGATTAGAATCTTCCGAGTTCCGAAAGGTTGCCATTGCGTAGTAACAGGTGCCACGCTAGTAGTAACAAGTGCATCGCTAGTAGAAACAAGTGCCTTACTAGTAGTAACAAGAAGCTAGTAGTAATATACTAGTAGGTCCAAAGCAACGTGGAGTAGCAAAGTGACGAGTCGCTTCTGCTTTGCACACATGTGGCACTCACGGGAATAGACTTAAGTACCCTTTGCTACTCCAAACAAAGGGGCCTTTCGATGCCTTTCCCTTTCCTGGAGAGAACAAAAGGTCGTAAGTAGATCAGAAGGCTCTACCATGTTCCTTCGTTCTACGCCTACGTGTCGCTTCCTTCTCGTTTCTCGCCTGGATTCCAGCATCTCGCACAAAGCTCACGCCAAGGCCACCAAACTTGGGATCCGGATCAACGTGGCCAATGACCTTGACGTGACCGAATCGACGCAGGTTGGACCTGTGGGACCTGTGGGACCCAGCGGAATCACCAAGTTAGAGCTTCTAGCTTCTAGTACCTTCTTGTTACTAGTAGTAAGGCACTTGTTACTAGAAGCAATGCACTTGTTCCTAGTAGCTTATTGTTTCTAATTAAACTTAATTCTAATTACAAGCTTCTAGCTTCTAGTACCTTCTTGTTACTAGTAGTAAGGCACTTGTTACTAGAAGCAATGCACTTGTTCCTAGTAGCTTCTTGTTACTACTAGTAAGGCACTTGTTACTACTAGCGTGGCACTTGTTACTAGTAGCTCCTAGTCACGAAGGTGATAAAGCTAAAGGCAGCCATGTGACACAACGCTTCACCTTCTTTGCCACCACCAGCTCATCGCACGGCGGGGTCCGCCTCAGTGAAATGTCACAGCTGGACTTGAAAAACAAAAGAAGTAAGGGTATAGTAATAAGGGAGAAAGAATGAAACACAACAATGCGACGCCGCTACGGTTCAGTTGGAACCTACAAGCACGCCGAAGGTCAGCTGCTCGAAATCAGAAGTACTCTCGAAGGTCTCCTGTTCCTTTTTACATTGGCCATTGCGGTTGGGGTGGAGGCCGTCACTAGTACGTTGGAGGCCATCGCTATTAGGTTGGAGGCCGTTGCGGTTGGGGTCCAGACTTCCCTGGACCTCGATGGCAGGGCTCCAAGGTGGTGTAGATCGTGGCGTCACTGAAGTCACTGAAGCCTTTTGCCTAACAAGATCGAAGTCATCTGCAGCTTGACTAAGAGATCCTGAGAGGAAGCTTCTCAAAGGGTAACTCCGGTCAAACCAGGGATAACTCCGTGCCATCAGTAACATTCTGACGCATTCCGAAAAGCTTGCTCAAAAAGTGTTGACATGTCTGTCTGGACATTGGGAGTAATGCAAAAGAATTAGCAAGGAGTAAAAAATAAAAGCCTTGGGGCACGCAGTCTCCTAGCAAGGATCAGCAAAGGCAGGCAGCGATCTTGTTCGTAAGAAATTGGAAGAAAGAACAAGATCGTCAGAAAGTTCAAGATCTAAGGAGTTGCCCAGCTGTTCATCCCGCAACCTCACCCACTGAACACCGCAAATGACATGAGAAGACCTTCCAGTGGCCCCCGGGTTCTGCCGCTAGTAGCGTCCTTGTTCCTAGTAGCGAGGCCAGGAGCCCCTAGTAGCGTCCTTGTTCCTAGTAGCGTGGCACTTGTTACTACTAGTAAGGCACTTGTTACTAGTAGCGAGGCACTTGTTACTAGTAGTGAGGCCAGGAGCCCCGTTCGTAGCGTCCTTGTTCCTGGCCTCAGCATCTTTGAAAGCTTCCACTTCAGCATGCGGAGAGCCCGGACCCCTGAGGTCGGTGACGGGTCGCTAGCAGGTCTGCTTCTGCTCGGTCCACTAATTGGAATTCGGAAAGCCACAGCCATGTCTAAGATTTGTGTAAACCTCTTGTTCTTTTCTCTTGCTTTCTGTAAACCTGCAACAAGGACTAGAGCCACGTGCTAAATGGTGCTAGGCTGCTAGAGTAGAGCCACATTTCTAGAAATCTTCGCACTTTGAACAGCATGACATGCCAGGAGTACTTGTGGAAGCCTTCTCCCACGACTTTGCCATCAGCCACCACCAGAGCGCCCACCCACGGATTTGGTGCTGTGATCTTGGCATCGAAAACACGGACTCACAAGTTTGAACCGTTCGACTTCGTCAACAAGAATGCGAAGTCCAAGAAGAAATCGCGAATGGTAAATCTAGGAAAGGAAGCTACTAGGGGCACCTGGCCTTACTACTAGGAGCAAGGACGCTACTAGGGGCTCCTGGCATCGCTACTAGGAACAAATCCAAGGAAATCCAGGAAGACACGGCGGACATATCGCTGGGCTGCAAGCCAACCGGCCACGCTGACCCTGCGCCAGCCTCAGCATTGAGAAGTCGCGAAAGAAGAGCTCACTGAGAAAAAAGAATATGCAATGTATATAGTATGAATCTGTTGAAAAAAAGAAAGAAACGAAATCGGGACCGCAAGACAGCCATCTTCTTTTGTGGCACCGTGCCATTTGGCCGTGGGTGGCTAGTGAAACCAAAGCAAGAGTCGTTAACTCCAGAGAGTTGGGTTGAAATAAAATGGGAGAATCATTGGAAATCATTCTCTTTGTACTCATTGTCGAGGCACTTTGTACTCCTTGAAATCGATGAGATCTCGAAAGTTTCGATTGATTGATGTTCCTTTGAAGCTGGCCTTAAAGCTGCGGAGAGAAGTGGGGAGCTTCTCTTGCAAAGCGAGGATGCCTGTACTGTGCAGTCGCACACAGCCTGCGAAGTGTAATTCCAACTCAAAGATGCTCGAGCTATGAAGCACCTTGGCCAAAAGAATCAAACCTGCATCTGTCAGGTTCTTGCAGCCCACAAAGTCCAAGTAAAGCTGCTGTAACTTCAGCTGCTGAAAACGTGAGGTCAATGCTTGTAAGGAGAGATCCGTCAAACGTACACAGTCCTCAAAGCTGAGCTTGAGTTTCACCAGACTGCTGGGCAAGGACTCGGCCAAGGTCTTCACCACCGAATCAACACAAGTCTCCTCGTGAGCCAAACAAGGACGCTACGAACGGAGCAAAGGGCATCGCTACTAGGAGCGATCGGACGCTACTAGGGGCTCCTGGCCTTACTACTAGGAGGAAGGACGCTAAGTCTCCTCAAAATGAGCCAAACTCAAATCCAAGGATTGCCGGAAGCTGTCATTCACTAAGGCATCACAAACGTTGAGCATGCCAGAGTGAAGGCCTTGACAGGGAAATCTTCAAAAAGGAGTGCCCAAAGGAACCTTTAGGATAAACTTTAGGATCTGAAAAGCAATACGCAAAAACGAAAGCACAAGATCCTTGGCCTTTTGAATGCTTGGGCAAAAGATTCTTGTGCATTGCTTGGGGCCAAGCCAGCACTGCTAAGGTCGAATGAAGAGTTTGATTCGCCCGAAGCAAATTCTTCTCAAGACGCTCTTTCCCTTCATCTGACAACAACTCACGGCTTTGAGCGATGGATTGTAGGATGCTGATCTTGTCACTCTCGCGAGTTGCGGAGCCTGCAGGAAGGTGTTGGAAGGTGCCGTAGCTACTAAGTTACTAAGTCATCTATTGTACTAAGGGACTAAGAAAGGAGACCTTGGAAGCTAATGCTTCTTCCTGAGCCTTAATGATTTGGTTCCTAGATTTGGGAAACTGGAAGTAAACAAGAAGGGCAACACAAACGCTACTAGGAACAAAGGGCATCGCTACTAGTAGCAAGGACGCTACCAGTAGCTCCTGGCCTTACTACTAAAAACAAGGACGCTACTAGGAGTT